CCCAATTGTCCCCAAACCTGCCCTTCCCCCATCATCCCCACTCAGAAAATGGCACCAACATTGACCCAGTTGCTCAGGCCCACAGTCTTGGAGTCATCCCTGACTCCTCTCTTGATCTCGTAGCCCACATCCAATTCAACAGGAAACTGTGAATTCTATTTTTAAATTATATTTCAAATCTGACTGCTGTTTGCCACCTCCACATCTGCCAGTGCCTTTTTTTCTTCTCACCTGGAATCCCACAGTAGCTTCCTAGTTAACCCCCTGCTCCCACTCATGCCCCTTACTGATTTGCCTCTACTCCATGGCCAGAACGATCCTTTTAAAGCATAAATCTGCGATAATGTCACTTTCCTGGTCAGATTCCTCCAATGGCTTCCCATCACAAGTAGAATTAAATCCATATTCCCTCATGACCCCCCTAAACGCCATACATTCTAGGCTGCCACGTGCCTTATTTCTTTCCAGCCTCACCCACTCTCCCACCCCACCTCCCCGCCAGACCACCCCATAAATCTGACTGCTCTTTGCCACCTCCACATCTGCCACTGCCTTTTTTCCTTCTCACCTGGAGTCCCCCAGTAGCTTCCTAGTTAACCCCCTGCTCCCACTCCTTGCCCTTCTTGCCCTGCTTTGATTACAGCCAGCATGCTCCCACCTCAGGGTCTTTGCACAAGTTACTGACTCTGCTCAGAATGTTCATACAATTGCTTCATTCAAGTCTCTCCTTAAAAGTCAAAGTGACCTGCCTACTGGTTCCTGATGCTTACGCAGCTTTGTTTTCTGCATAGCACGGTGTCCTGGCATTGGGTCATAGATTTATTTGCTTTCTTGTCTGTCTTCCCTACCAGGCTGTGAGCTCCAGGGAGTTCAGGGAGTTTTATTCACTTAGCAACTGTACCCATGTCTGCCATGGGAGCTGTTCAGTCAGTATTGGCTGAATGAATGAATGAATAAGTGAGTGAATGAATGAATCCTTCTAAAATTGTTTTCCCGTCTGTAAAAATAAATTAAATATATTAAATTAAGTAAGTTTAATTTAATTATATATTAATGATTAATTATAAGGTAAATAAATATATTAAAATACATTCTTCATGACTGGCATAATGGCCTAAATAAAGTATTTTGTTATTTTTGGATTTTACCTTCCTCCCCTTGCTTCAGAATCCATGCTGGCTCCCAACTCCCTATCACCTTGAACTCGAGCCTTGACTAAGCCAGGCTGGTCACAGGTTGACCAGAGTTTGCCAAGAGTTGGCAAATAGCCAGACTTCAACTCAATCTGCTTCTCACTGTTTCTGTTAAGAAGGAAACAAGAATAACCTCACCTCTCTGTGATACTCTGCAGTTTCCCACACACTGATGTCAAACTGCCTTCACAACCATGCAGCGAGGCCTGTGGCATTAATGCCCTTTTGCAGATGAGGACGCTGGCAGTGTGACTGACTTACCTGGAAGGTGACTTCAGGGAGTGACAGAGATGGGAATCCCCTTCACATGACACTAACTCCAACATGTGGATTCCTCTCCCCATAGCACACATCTCACTCCCAACTTCTCACCAGCACTTGGGCTGCCCTCCCCTCTGCTCTGTCTCACGTCTACTCTTATTCTGAGATCCAGATCCCCTTTCTCCTCCTCCTGGAAGCCCTTCTGACTTTCCCTCTTTTTTTCTGAGTTTCACAACAGCTGAGTTCTAACCCTCTCTTGTCCTGCTCTTTGATTGTCTCCTGTGTGTTTTCTCCCTTCAACTATAACAATAGTGACACCGACTTTTAATATCACACTTGTTATAGTGGCAAGCAAACCAAGAGATACAGAGAGAAAAGTCAAAGTTGTCCCATCCCCACCCCTTGGAGTAACCACCACCGAGAGTCTGGCCTGATGCCTTGACCTCCCTTCCAGGCATTGACACACCTACTCACGTGCTAACAACAGTGCTTCGTACATGGGATCACACCGCACCTATTCTTCAACTTGAATTTTTGGACTTAGCAATTCCTTCATGATTGTGCCACATCAGCACGCAGACTCCCTTCCTGAGAACCATAAGGCTGAGAATGTGCCATGATTGATTTAACCACCTCTCCATTGATGGACAGACATTGGGCTTGCTTCCAATTTTCCCACTCAGAGAGCACCATGCACCGGCACCCCATGGGTGCCTCCAAGTGCTGGCAGCCCGTGGGTCCTTCTCTGGGTACTGTATTGGTGGGGCACCTGGAAGTGGAGTTGTGGGGGCAAGGCTTCCCCTTCTAAGAGGATGGGCCAATATAGGCTCCACTGGTGGCTGACCCTGACCCGCACTCTGCCTCCACAGAGCACACCGCAGCACTGTTCTTGTGTGCTCCCTGCAAGAATCCTGGGTAGAAACATCAGTGCCATTTCACCATGGGACGTGGTCCCATCCTGTCACTTTCCAGAGCACACACTCAGATCTGGTCCCGGACAGGCAAGATGGGTGTACAGATATGGTCCTGTGCAGACAAGCTGGGGGCCGGGGGTTGGAGCTCCTTTCACAAGTCCCAGTGGGGTCCTGAACACCAAAAGGTTGAGGGAGGGGCATGTAGAGGAGAGGCACTTGGTGGGGGTTTAAAAGCCTGAGGAGGGGCTTTCTTCCCACTCCTTCCATGGCTCAGAGGAGCCTGGGCTCAGGCTGAGAAGCAGGGCTGCTATGTTGCCATGGAAACGGAGGGTTCCTCTCTCCCTCACAGCAGGAATCACGGGTGATTGGGGGTGGGGGGTGGGAGGAGGATGTTTCCCTGGCAGCACTAAGGGTTGGGGCTAGAAGGCTGGTCACTCCTCCCCCTCCTCACTACCTCCCTTCCTCCTCTGCACCCACTGCTGAGACCAACGGCCATCCCGAGGTGTCGCTGAGGGTGCTGGGGGCAAAGGTATAGACCAAGAAGGGACACAGTCAGAGGATGTGAGTGGGATGGGGAAGTCAGGGGCTTTCAAAAGAAGCTATAGAAGGTTCCCCCCTTTTAGACATCCCGCATATGGGGAGCCTTCTTACACCCGCAGCCCTGCCCAGGTACTCTTTCAGGACAGAGCTTCCTCTCGCACTCACTCAGTGAGTCACATGTCCACCCCGCTCTCCACGCAGCACACACGTGCTGCCTCCAGGTACCTGTAAATGTGAACTTCTCACATGCACATACACCACTGTCAGCCACGCACACACAGGGTCACACAAATATGTTCACATGTTGACAGGTTCACAATTCGTTCATATACAGTGACGCCCACACATGCAAGCCACACGCATCTGCTTGCTGATGCACATGTGTGGTCGCACAGTCATCCTGCATGCAAACACACATCCTCTCTGTCTGGGTGACTGATTGTCACTCCTGGGAGTGCCTTTTCTCATCTCCTTCTCACCCCCTACTTCCATCTCCCCTTCTCCCCAGCCCTCAGTCAGTCCTTGGCAAAAGCCCTGCCCTCTGGGCTCAGCCCTGGAAGGACATGCTGTCATTTCCAAAGAAGCAGATTCTCAGACACAGACAGCATGCAAAGGGCTGGGGAGGGAGGTGCCAGGGGTGATATCCCGCCCCTTCCAGAACATACTTCTGATCCTGGCTAGAGTTAAGAGCAGCTAAAGTTAACCCCTCTCCAAACAAAACAAACAAAAATCTCCAACGAGGTTGCCACTGTAAGTAAAATTGTAAATATTCGAATAGCCATGATTAATAATAGGCAGCTAAGTGGCTATTTATGGAGCAGGCAAAGTTCATTGTCCCACTTCATTCTTCCTAACAACCTCTGAGGCAGTACATCCATATCCCAGGGAGCAAAACTGAAGTTTGAGGAGCTCTTGTAACTCCCAGCGATGATGCTAGGTCTGCCAGACCCCAAGAGTCCCTAATCAAAGGACCCCTCCCTTGCACTGCCACGTTTCACTGGCTGAGCCCTGCAGGGTGTAGGGACACTTGGGACAGGTGCTGACCGGGACAGGGAAGCAGACACCTGCGGTTGGAAATGAACACCAGACATCCGTCGCCTTTGGTTATTCTCAGCCTCCCACTTGGGAAACCTCCCCGGATCACCTGGGATTTTAACACAGTGCACTTTCTCTGTCGATTCCTTTCAGCCTTTCCTCATCATGTCACTGGCTTTCTCATCCTTTCAAGTCCCTCCCTGCAAACCAGTTCTTTTGCAGAGAGTTATTCTAGTTCCATTTCCCTTTTGGCCCACAGCAGCCAAGTCCAGAGAGCTACTAGGTTGGACCACAGTGGCTCACCAAGGTGTTACGCTAAACACAACTTAGTTCTTTGCTAAGACAACTTCTATTCTTGGCAGCCATTTTTTCTCTCTGTTACACTGAGATTATATCTCTCTAGCTTTTTGAAGGTAAAATGTTCTTTATTTTCTAAGTGTCTTTCATTGACAAATCTTAAGTTGCCAAATTCTATGATTTTCTTATTTTGTTCTTTATCTAAAATGTCTGATTGCCTCCTAATTGAATCCAACCCTTTATTTTCAGACTGGAAAAATTCATCCAAGACAAGGGGGTTGACTTGTCAAAAAACTCAGCTGGATAAGAGAGATGCAGACCCTGGGGTCAAAACTCCTGATTCAAAATTAGCCCGACTAGTGGGCCTCCCCTGGGGGCACAGGCGGTTGAGTGCAGTGCTGTGAAGCTGTTCACAGCTTCTGCAGCGTTGATTTGATCATGGCCGGCCAGCGAGAATCCCGCATGGTGCAGCAGACCTCAGCAGTGTATTTCAGTCAGTCTGCCTGTTTTGTTCCCTGCTCTGTCTCTGGTGAATCCTCTCACCCTCCCACACATCTGACCTGTACCCAGGCTCTTGTATGCATGAATAAATAAATCTTAGAAAAAAAAATGAAATCAGCCCAACCACTATCTAACTACAATTAGGCACGTCAGTAGGACCTACGGACGCCTCAGTTTCCTCGTCTGTACAATGGGATGAACTGAGAATCAAATAAAACACTGCAAGGTTATCACTTTGAAATTGTAAAATGATATCAAATATTAGCTTTCACATGACCTTTCAGTTGCAAAGCCAGAGGCAGAATCCAGGCTTTTTGACCCTTTGCTGTACTCCACCCTGCTGCGGCGTGTCCAAGCAGCATGAGGGTAAGTGACAGAGGCAGAGACTAGATCAGACCACAGTTCCAGTGTTGGTGGTATAGTAGTGAGCAGAGCTGCCTCCCAAATTCCACTTCCACCATCACGAGCTGTGTGAGTGTGGAGAAAATAACTCACATCCACACCAGCTCTTCATCTGAAAACAACACATCATAAAACTTAATTTGTGGCTGATGGGATTAAATGAGTTAACACGGCTAGCTCGCGGTAAGTGGGTGTTTTCTCCCCTTCCCCTCAGACTCTTCTCTCCAGCTGTCATTCTCTGAATTTCTTCAGTGGTGACGAACCCCCTGCTTCCTTTGAAAGAAAATTTGATTTTGGAAGGAGCCCAAGGTCACCGAGAGGCTCGTCTGGCCAGGGAGGCAGACGGTTAGTAATCAAGTCCAGGAAGGAACACCCTTTGGACGTGCAGATGGGCTTCAGCTCTACGAGGGGGAGGAAGGGCTTCTCCTTCGTGCCTCTGGAGCCAGCGGAGAAGGAAGCCATTCTTGCTTGGGGGCCCAAGTTCCACGTTGCAGGAGAGGTTCTGGAGGCCACCAAAGGAGCAGGTCTGCACCTCCCACGGGGGTGGGCATCGTGGGCAGGCAGCTCAGAGGGGTGGTCCTGGCCTCCGTGATCGCCTCTCATCCTCGCCAAGCTGGATGTCAGAGCCAGAATGACACATCGTCGAGTCCACTCCCCCATGTCTTTTAAATGAGAGAACTAACTCCCTTCCCCCACCTGTTTCCTGATGGACAGAAGTGAAACTTCAAGGGCAACTTAGAATGTCTGAGCTAGAAACTGACCTTGGTGATATCCAGCTTAACCCTCTCTTTCTTTCCCACCCCATTTTACAAATAAAGAAACAGAAGGCTGGGGAAGAGAGCAGCCATGTGCCCAAGCACATGCCCTATGGTAGTGACAACACTGTTCATCCTCCCGTCTCCTGCCCCTTGGCCAGCGTTCTTCTACTGCCCAGCAACACTGCTCTTTAAATGAGGACAAATGGCTGCTCGCCCTGCCTTTCCTGAGAAGATCCAAGGAGGTGGGGGAAGGAGGGCCAGCCCAGGAAGAAGGTCTGGGAGGAGGGAAGACCACCCACAAGGAGAAATGGGCCAAAAGCAAGGGTGGCACTAGATGCTTTCACCAAGTGTCCTGCTGGAGACCATTTCATCAGCAGAGGGGCCATCTGGGCAGCAGCTCTGTCCCTGACTTCCAGATTGACCAGGCAAGCCTCCTTCCCCTCTGGTCTTCCGCGTCCTCATCTGGAAAAAGAGAGTGGACACTGTGCCACACACAGCCCTGCCCCAGATCACATGTGCTGGAGGGATACAGCCCTGGGCCCCCACGGCAGCAGCTGAGACCCAGGAAGGCAGGCTCCCCTACCCATCTAAGTTCCGAGGCGCCCACTGGAGGAACAGCAGGGAACACTGGCTGCAGAATTCTACCTCAACTTCCATTTTGCTGGTTGTCAGTATCATTTTTGCCCCAGTCTCCCCCAAATCTTCTGGCTAAATTTGGCAGCAGCTGCAGGGAGCACAGGCTGGGAAAACCGCGCCACCTAGGGGCATTTGGCCTCCACTACAGCGCAGAGGTTGAAGCCAGGAGTTCCCTTGGATCCTCGTCTGTCTCCGCACCACCACCTTGAGAAAAGTAGGTCACAGGTTTTGAAGATGAAGGAACTGAGAAGGTCAAGCAGCAGCAATGTTGCATAATCCAAACCAGAGCTGAGGTCCCTGATGTTAGCAAGCTCTTTCTGTCTTTCCTCCCTTCCCCCTCCATTCCAAGGACATGTCTGGGCCGAGTGACAGTTAACATAAAAGATGAGTAGGTTTTCAGCAATTGCTCTCTAGTGGCTCAGAAATAATCTCAAATTGCTGTGAAAATTATTTTGTCAGTTTCGATACAGATTTAGGGCAGAAAGGGGTCTGGCTGAGGTCGGTGGGGTAGCCCCAGGGGAGACACCTGGGGCTTGGACAGACTGGGAGTCAAGTGCTGGTTCTGACGTGGACACACTTGGGCTATGCCCACACCCCTTCTTGGAGATGCCTCTAAAGCGAACTGCAAAGCAGGATTCACTTTCTTGGGAAGATTCACAACAAAAGTTTGAGAAGCAAAGTTTGAGAAACACCTGAGGCCTGACTGTCTTCAGAAGCCTGTCCTCCAAGCAGCCGGGGGTGGGACCATCCTGTCCTCATCCACCAGAACTTAGCCTCTCAGCCTGGAATAAGAGCTCAATTCCCACAGCAACCTCGAGACCACTTGGAGCCGCCTCCCTCCCCTCCCTGACTGCATCCCCCCATTTTCCACCTGGCCCCCAGCCTTCTCAATCCTAAACACCCTGGGTGTGGTGTGTGCTATTCCCATTGTCTGGAGTGATGGCCTAACCTTGGCATAACCTGCTTCCTCACTGCCTGCAGATTTTTACTCAAATGTTACCTTCTGGAGGGGTCTTCCTTACCTCAAGTTTCAACACCCACCTCTTTGCATGTCACCATCCAGCACACCATCTATACCTGACTTAATTCTCTTGTTTATTATCTTCCTCCCATCCCATGTATTCACCGCTGAGTTCTTGGCATGTAGTCAGGGCTCAATAAATATTTGTTAAATGAGTGGGTGACTATTCAAAGAATAATTTTGAGGAGAAAGAATAAAATCAGAACATTGACATCCCTCCCCCATGCCTCTTGGAAACTCAGAAACTAGTGAACATGTCAAAGACTTTTCTATGAAATTTTTTTCTATGAAATATGAAGTGTTGTCCCTAGGTCACCAAGGAGCAAGGACAGGAGGACTGTGCTCACACTCGAAGGACCAGGAAGTGGAGCTTCTGCGGAGTGAGGGCCTGTGTCTGGGTCACGCAGCTGTGAAGGGAAAGAGCCAGGAGGAGCCAGTCTGCAGGGTATAAGGCTGCAGAGCTTTTCCCTGCCCACGCTGCAGCGGCCTCTCTAAGCAGGGACCTGGAAGTACTTACACTGAGGCACTTGGTTGAAGGATTGTTCTTCGCATAAGCACCATACTTAAGTGGCCACCCAGTCAGCTTTCAGAGGACCGTCCCAGAGGACAAGCAGAGCCTTTCTTAACATGCAAGAGAGCATATTGGGCACCAACTCTATGGCAAGGCCAGGAGACCAGCCCAGAGCAGAGAAAGCGAGACTGCTCCAAACAGCGTGGCTAGCTTCACAGGCCAGAAGCCGCCTCTGTCAGCAGAGCCCAGGGTAGTAGATGGACATGGATAGAAGCAGTAAAGTGTCCAGACAGAGTGCTGGGGGAGGGCACAGGGATCCTGAACTAGAATCCCAACTCGTTAGAAACTTGCTGATGACCTTGGCCTTGCCACGGGCAGGTTCCCCAGAAGCTTCTCCTGTCTACAGTGTCACAAGGCACTCATACTCACATCTGGCATAGTACCCAGCACACAGTATTGATGTGTCAGCCTCCTTCTCCCTAAGCCCTCCAGGGGACAAATGGGCGGGTGTCACAATGGGGGGAAAGTTACTGGCATCTGGTTGAGACCAAAGTGCTGCTACACATCCTATCATGCACAGGCCCCCACAAGAACCATCCGGTCCCAAATATCCAGAAAGCCAGAGTGGAGGAACTTTGCCCTAGGAAATGAGCTCCTGGAAGGGGTGAAGTATCAGATTCTCCTCGATACACCCAGTGCCCTGTGTGGCACCTGGAAAGCCATATGGATGTATTTGTTGATTGGTGGGGGGGGGGGCAGAACTCTGGTTCCCCCCGACCCTATCCTGCAGGCCCCACCTTCCTGATCTTCAGCAGGCCTGATATACCTGGAGTTGGAGGTCAGAAGAAGGGAAAGGAAAGGAAATTGAAACACCTGTGCCTGTGTGCCACATCTCCATTAGGTCCATTATTCCTGACTCACCTGTTTCTGGTCCAGCACTGGGCTTTGGAAATCAGACCAACATGAATTCAGGTCTTTGTTCTCCATTCACTCGCTCGCTCACTCTCTGTGCACTTGGTTGAGCCACCTCTTCCCTCTTTTTCATCTGTAAACCAGGAGCACAGGTCCTGTCCTAACCCTATAGAGGCTTTTGTGAATATGTGTAGAGTGCTGGACAGTGGAACAGTCTTTCTACTGAAGGTGACAAGTTGGCTGGTTCCAGTTGGAGAGTCCTGAGTTTCAAGGGCTCAGGTGGAGAGGATGCTCCCTTCAGAAGTTCTGCTTTCCAGAGGTTACAGCCAGCTAGGAGGGTGGGGAGATGGCCCAGGAGCAAGATCTGGCCCAAACCAGCAACCAGCCAGCCCCAACATGATACTGCAAGAAGACTGTGGGTAAAGAAACAGCCCCTTGAGAGCTTGAGAGTAGGCCTGTGTGCAGTGTCCTTGACCACATCCCTGTGCTCACCAGTGTCTGTACCTGGCCGGCACTCACTGAACGAAGGTGGAACAAATGCATGTTCATGGTCTCCCCCTCTGGAGCCTCTCCTGTGTCTGTGCCCTGTGCCAACCCACACAAACCCATTCAACTACCATAACAGCCCTACAGGGGATGCTCCGATCCACATAGTGGGGGAACCCAGGTTCACAAGGAAAAGCATCATGCCCAGAGTCACATAGGTCACATGTTCATAAGTGGCCTCTCTCAGAGGCGGATTTGAGCTCAAATCAAATCTTACCAGTCTTTCCATTAAACCCTCTATTCAGGGATCAGTAGCCCTGCTGAGAAACAGCACTAGAAAAAAGCCCCTCCAGCCTAAAGGAACTGCATATTTCACTGTGGAAAGTAAACAGGGGCAAGGTAGGTGTCTCAATTTTCCATTACACCAGCTCCCCAGCCTGTTTGAGTCAGTGCAGGGGAATCCCTGAGCTGGGAGAGACGTTACCAAGCACCAGCCACTACTGCCGGCAGAGTCTGGGGTTGAGATCCAGGAATCTGCCCCTCTCACTAGCAAACTCGGATCCTTATTCTAGAAGCTCTGATATGGTTTAAACCCCTAGCTAAACTCCTAGGATGCACATAGCAGGGCGTTCAAGGCTGTCTGCCTCCAGTTGGCATTTTCTATTCCATCTCCTACAGTCTCTTCAAACTCCTAGTGTCCTACCTTGCAGGACAGTTTGCTCTTGCAAACTGTCACCCTTTGCCTCTGTGCTTTGCACATGCTGTTTACTTGCCCTGGAAATGCCTTTCTCCATCTTGTCTGCAAATTCCTTCTTGATCTGGGCAGACTCGTACAAGAGGCATGGAATATCAGGCCTCAACACTTCCAGCAGTCCACAAAATAAATAAACTTTTAGGTCAAAGGTCACGTTTTCATATGTAATGTTAGTGATTGGCTGACCTGTCTTTCCACTATATGGTGAGATAAGGAAGGGGGCCATGCCTTCTACATCTCCGTGTCTCTAGCCCCTGGCTTGGGGTTTGCACATGGAAGATACTCATGTTACCCAGCTCAGTTGAAGCTTCTCTATACACATTAGGAACAGAGGCCTCCCTTCCCAGATCACCCAATAATGGCCCGGGGCAGCACTGTCTCTCATCATGCTTTCACTCAGTCGGGCCTGTTACGTGCCAGGCATTGTCCTAGGCAGCAGGAACAGTCAGCAGCACCAAAAACAAACATGGCCCTGCCCTCATAGAGCTTATATCTCATGGCTCCTCCTGTCTGTCTCTGCCTTATACTCCCCCATCACATCTCACATTTCTCCATCCTGCCTCATGATGTTCCCCCAATGCAGGGGCCAGGGAGAAATCTGGTACCGCATCCCTCCTTCTCCCTCCTGCTCCAGCCTCCCAGGCTTCATTACCTCTCCCAAAAGGATCGCATTCCTCCTTCCACACCCTCCTGGAAGGTGACTGCTCCCCTCCCAAGTGCTCATTAATTTCACGCTCCGTCTCCAGCATGACTGACCTACTTTCTGCTCTTTCCCCACGTGGCTGCCCAGCAGCGCTGGGTCTCTCCCACACCTGGAGCTGGGTTTCCCTCAGTGCCTCCCTCTTCCTGCAGCCAGGTGTCCCCTCTGATGCCTCATGGCTCCCCACCCCCAGCCTAGAGGGCAGGCTTCCAGCCCTAGAGAGATGGAAGCAGGGGTCCCTGCCAACTGCATAGCCCTGGGTACTCAAATCTCAGCTCTATCCCTCCCAGGTGCAAGTCACAGCCGAATCTGAGCCTTCATTTCCTGTCTATATGAGACTCTACCCTGCAGATGTTTCTGAGAAGGTAGCATCTGTAAATGGGTGGGCATCCCAAGTTTGGGTTCAAAAATATCCTTTGCAGCCCCACCCATAGGCCCCCTGCCCCGACTAGAGTCCCACCATTTCTAAAGAAGACTGGAACATCCTCTTCTGCTCAGGGCACCCCTGTCCTCCCTGACCAAGGCCTTCTATCTGCCCCCTGCCCTCTTTCAAGATCAAGAGGAAGCTGTGTCCCCTGCCTGACCGTCCCCCATTGCTCCCCCTCACACAGTGGCCTGTATTTCTTTATACCCCACCCCACTCAAGAGCGGATTTGAAGCAGAGCTTTTAATTGGTAATCCTCATTTGGCATTCATCACAGAGCCTTACATCTGGGCTTTGCTGGGAGAGCCCAATGTCAAATATCCTGCCTTCTCTATTCCCATGAACGCATGGCGGAATAATAAAAATAATAGCTAACATTCACTGTGGGCTCCTCAGAGACAGGCACAGCGCTCAGGGCTTTACAGGAACCTCCTGGCTTAATTCTCACAATGACTCTATAAAGGTACAATTATCACCCACCCTATTTAGTTAAGGAAACTGAGTCACGGAGAGGAAAAGAAAACGGCTCCAGATGACAGAGCTTGGGTGAGGACTAGGACAGCTGGATTCCAGAGCCCAGCCCTGCACTACTACTGAGGCCGAGGGACTACAGACTCTTGCTTGCACTCAGACTGGCTCAAAAATCGCTTTGTCAAATAAAATAAAACAAAATCACCCAGACACTCCATGTATTTTTCCACGAGCAGATGGAACTGACCATTCTCACTCAGATTCTCTTCTCTCAAGACCAAGCTAATCACTGCATTGAGGCTTCTAGACCTCTGGGCTCTCCCCAGGTGCACTGGGCCAGAGCCATTGTGGCCTGAGCTCCACGCACACCTCTGGAGGGCTAGTGCAGCACCCCGCCCTTGCAGGTCAGACTGCCTGGCTGCTTGGTGTGAAGGGTGTGTACTGGGTACACAGGGGCACCGTGGTCTACTACTCCACCTCGAGACTGTGCAGAGGACCTAGGACACCGCATTAGGGGAGTGGAGCAGCACCTGGCTTCAGAAGTGCAGTGCCGACACATCAGGCAGGACACGCCCATCTGCAAACTGCACATGAAACATGGCTGGATGGGGTGCCCAGACAGAGTATGGGGTGGAGTGGGGAGAATCATAGAACTTCCATGGAATAACCAGGCACCTGACCCAGTGGCAGAGCCCTGAACTCAAGGAAAGGTGCCTGGGCCAGGCCTGCCTACCCCTTGGGGTCACGATGGGAGGGAGGTGCTGAGTCCCTGTGACAACATTGCTGGAGTGGAGAGCTGCAGAGATGATTTTTACCCAGCAGAGTTCATTTAGTTTTAATAATGCATATTTGTTTCTGATTATAAAGATAAAGCATGCTTATTGTGAACATTAAGAAACATTTTTAAACTCATCCATGATCCCACCATCCAGAAATAAGAATTGTTAACACTTTGGTGCCTTTTCTCTACATCATTTCCCCAATACCCGTGTATTTGTAAGTCATCAGGTTTCCAACTGTAAATCCTGAGTATTTTTCGATTCTATAAACTTTGACTTTTAATGATTTTGGAATGTCTGATCTTATAGGATATCTCATGACTTATTTTACTATTATCTTCTTGTTGGCTTATGTAAGCTATTTTCTATCAACCCCATTTCAAAACTGCAATGGCTATTGGAGCCAGAAGCTATCCTGCCCAGTCCAGTCTGACATGAATGAAAGAATAAATGAATTAATGGGCTGGTTCAGATGTTTAAGGTGCTGAACAACAGAGGAGAGTTCGGACCTGATGTTGTGGTCTCCAGCTGGGTAGAAGGTTCTGGGGTGTCCTTTAAAAATGCCCTTTAGACTCTTCCAAGGCTGGCACTGCCACACAAGTCTTGGGCTTCTCACAAGCAGGTGGAAGAGCAGTTCCCAGGACTGGCCTAAGGGATAACACTCTGTAGGAACCCCAGG